CATTGCGTTACGCAATGAAAGGCATTTTCCACTATAATGAAAATCGAAAACCATTAAAACCTGGATTCCGGACGCATACACAAGTTGTTTGAAAACAAAACACGATTAATTTTCATATATATTTCAGTGAACTGGACGTTTGGTCACATTCGGAAGCCAACCAATTTACGGGACCATGTAAGCGGAAATTTTCCTGTGTTCTCTCTATAAATGGCTTGTCTGTATTTTTCTGAATTATCTGCTAGGCAAGATCGAAACTACAGTCAAACGTATGATCAGTGATTTAAATTTAAAAAACGAGCCATTAAGCCTTTCGTAGTTATTTATGATGCATCGCGTCAAAAAAGAACATTTCAAGCTCCATGCACTCCTCCATACTGTCGAAAAATGGCGAAAACAGCTTCCAAAAGTGTAATGCCTGTCAACCAGCAGATAGGCGCTTGCAAGCATTCCTCATTTTAAGCAAAGTATAGCAATGGTATTTTATAGTGTATTTTCCCCAGGACGACACAACTAGTATGTAGTAGCACATTATATCGTAATCAACGCCAGTAAGTTTCTTTGTGTTGAGCATTTGGCGAAAGACTTTGTCAGACTTCAGTTAGATGCCCTCAACTTGGCCTAAAAGGTTAGTATTAACGTCACCTGTAGTTCATATAGCCAAGTGGAAACATTATGAAAGGTTGCTCCATCTGTATTGGCGGCGGTCACACAAAGCTCCCTACTATTACTTAAAGCGGAAGTTGAAAACTTAAGAAAAACCGAAGCTCTATAGAAGACTGTCAATTGTGACAAGTTAACATTTGCAGACAGAGAAAAGTATCTATCCGGAAGAAGAAGAAGATGCGATCACTGGAACAAGCGTTTTATTTTTCTGACGTTTTGGATACTGTCAAGAATCCTTAATTATTGGTAATCGTAGGAAAGTCGGAGACATGCATCGATAAGTGTGATACAAGCACAGGTTGCATGGTATTTAAAGTTCGTAGTGGTTATCCGCATGCGTACTATAATTATGGGTTCCTGTAGCCACCGCATGGGGTCGTAATTGCCACAGTTTGCTTGACAGCGTCGGATGCGGGATTACTAATAAATATAAAATACCGTGCAACCTGTGCATGTATCACCGTTATCTGTGCATGTCTCCGACTTTCCTACGATTATCTATGATTAAGGATTCTCGACAGAATCCGAAACGTCAGGAAAATAAAACTCTTATTCCATTGATCGTATCTTCTTCTTCTGAACTGCTTCCTTTATTGACAAAAATATCTATGTTGGCGCCATTTACCCGCCTGTCAAAGTGAATATTCTAGTTCAGTTAATGGTCACCGACTATTTGGAATCTAAACTCGCATTTATGAGGGCTATTATACGCATCCTACATACATAGTGTAGGTTACATTTAAGGGCAATTACCTTAACAATGAATACCGTCTGACCCACTGTAACTTCTATCCCCTTAAAATAGTGAACGCATTTACTCCGCCGGACGTCACTGTCGGCTCCTACAGGGACATATTTGCAGAACAATTGTGTCGCTCCATCACCTTCAAAGTGACGGATACGTTGCCACATCCAAGCTTCGAACATTTCAAGGTAAGATGACAGCAGTGTGATCAGTTTCGCTCAACCACAGTTAACATAATGGATGTCCTAAATAGTAGAACGGCTCCCTCTTTGCCAATGTTGATTGCTATCTGACGGCTTGGTGGCCGGCATGTGGATCCTCATCTCCCAAAATTTCATTACCGCTGTTGGAGGTTAGTGTGACGCGTGTTCGGCCTCCTGGCTCACTGACATTGGCGTGTGTTCGCCCGCGAGCTCCCAGAGTTTGTTGGTTGCTTTGACCAAGTAAATACTGGTGAACCAGATGGCCGAGTAAATCTACCGCCAACATCCAATACTGATGATGACATTTCAGCAGATAACGACCCGCAAGCATACCAGCCAGCACCTAGCGTATGAATCATCAGAGACAATCATCCCCAGTATGGGAGTAGTTTTATCGACAGGAGTTAAGGCTGCGAAGGTTCAACCCTATTGGCTGCGATTCCCGGTTCCTTATGAGATGGGAGAAGTCTTGGGAAGGCCAGAGTAGTAGGAACAATATATTGTTTGCAGTAGAGTTAGGGGGAAAGTTTCCACTCAGTCTGGCATGGCGTTCACTCGTGAGAGAGCGTGGCGCCGTCGCGTCCGTCTCTTAGGGGACGGGATCCCAAGTGCGTTCTAGCAACAGTAATCCCGCGCGGCCACCGAAAGCTCGCTTTGGTGATTGGTTGGACCGCACGAAGGTAGACACTGGCGTGGGGGG